CCCACCGTCCTTCAGTCCGTCCCTCCGTGGAAAGAGGGCCATTTTAACCCTGGAAGATCCCAAGGCCTCTGATCTACAGCTAGAGACCCAGGATTAAAAATGCCTTCGTAGCTGTATTTCCTTCTAGCTTTGCATGCTGCAGCATTTTTCTGTAAAAAAAAAAAAATAATAAGCTGGGAGGAGGAGTTATTTTTAAAGTTTTGCATTTGGCTCTAACGCCATCACTGCAGTCCACATTTTGTTCTTTTGTTGCCTAGAAGTTTGTCCATTTCACTTTTTCCTTTTGAGTTCCTCTTTTTTTCTCTCCTCCCTTTCCGATCTGTTTTAGCTTATCCCTTAACACAGTTCAGTTGAAATGAGTACTGTACGGTGGCCCCTTTCCCAGTGTCAGGGAGCAAGGTAAGTAATGCATCGAAGACTGTGTAATTAAAAAGAGGGTGGCTCTGATATGATTAGTTAATAACTTATTCATCTTAATTTGAACCCAAGTCCAGCAGAGCCCCCCCCCAAATTATCAGATGCGCTCAGAGCTTAGATAAAACAAGAAAATGTTTTAATTATAAGCCATCATATCTTTCCTTTCTTCCTTCCTCCCTCCCTCCTTCTCTGTTTTCATTAATTATGAAACTTTAAACAGCTATTACAATCTCAACTTAGTAGATTTATGATGAGAATATATAAACAGAATGGCTTGTGTAAAGTCCAGAGACATGATTATTTGAGAATGTATTGATATTGTTTATTTTCTGAGCTGATAGTCATTCTTCCGAAGGAAGGAGGGGTGGGTCTATAAATGTAAAGGTTGATTTCTACCAAAATTGGCTAATGGAGTCAAATTGCTTAGTGTTTTATGAGAAGAAGAATAAGTGCAATCTGTAATGGGGTTCCTGTGGAAAAACAAAGCAATTAGTGAGTTTCTTAGGTGTATTTTTCGAAGATACACAGATTCCAGGCTGCTCCGGATTCTGCTCCGTCAAGTTATTTATGTTTGCGCTCAAACTTTTCTGATCTGTTTATGGAACTATTTTGATAGTTGTTGTTCTTTCCCCCCCCTTTTTTACAACATGTTTGCATCACATGCAAAGCAAGTTCTATTTCGCTCGGCTGTGAGTTGACTGCGTCTTATGCTGTTGCTATTTGCCATATTTGAAGAGGGGGATTTTAAACTATATATGTATATATGAAGGTATGAGAGATATGTGATAGAGCAGCATAATAATTTTAGGCTGAACGTGTTTGCAGAGCTGGGTAGGAAACAGGGATGCAAAACCTGAGGTGCTCAGGTGTGGTGGCTGAATTCAACTCTCTGCTCACTATGAGGTGTTGGGAATTGTAGATCAGAAACATAGGGAGGTAGGGCTTTTCCATGCCAAGGATATCTGGCACTGAAGGTCGAAAGTATAAAAGCAGCTGATAAGACGCAGACTGTTGTGTTTTTGTTTGGGTTTAGAGGAATCTTCTGAAAATGTCTACAAGGTTTGGTTTTGTGATGTCAAGTTTGCAAGGACAAATAACCAGCTTTTACAAGAAGGCTCCTTTCTCAGGGATTGATGGAGTGATTAAGAGCCATCAAATCAATGTCACCTCTTAGCATCCACATAGATCAGTGTTTCTCAACCTTGACAATTTTAAGGCATGTGGACTTCAACTCCCAGAATTCCACAGCCAGCAATGCTGGCTGTGGAATTCTGGGAGTTGAAGTCCACATGCCTTAAAATTGTCAAGGTTGAGAAACACTGACATAGATCGATTTGCTCCACGATGATCTATCCCTAAACCTGCTCTTTCTGGTCTTCCAATGGTTCCTTCATCATCTCCGTAACTCAGTCTATCCAACTTGCTGATAATCACCCTCTTCTTCTCTTTCCTTCTACCTTTCCCATCATAAAGGCCTTGTTCAGAAAGCTAGGTCTTTGCACGGTGTGTCTGAAACAGGATATTTGGAGTTTGATCATTTGTGCCTCAAGTTCAGTCATCCCATTCTCAGGGAGAGCCTTCAGGAAATAATGATCATTTGTCCACTTTTTTTTTTTTTACATGTTTCCTTGACTGTGTGTCATTGTGACCCCGATTGCTCTATTGGCTGAGTGTCCTCAACAAGTTAGGTTAGTTTAAAAATGGAATTGGATAATTTTCAATTTATCATGTTGACAACATGAGCCTATTGTTGTTGGCTGTGTTGTGTAAGCAGGATATGACATACGCCTGAAAACGACTGATTGTCCTTGACTTAGAATTAGGACCAGAATTTCTGTTGCAAGCCAGTTGTTAAGTGAGTCACACCCATTTTACAACCCTTTTTGGTTACGGTTGTTAAGTGAATCACTATACTTGTTTAGTGAATCCTGGGGTCATGAAAAGAATCAGACTTCCCCCTTGACTTGTCAGGAGCCAATTGGGAAGGTCACAAATGGTGACCACGAGACCCAGGGAAGCTGCAACCGTCGTAAATACATGCCAGTTGCTAAGCAATCAAATTTTGATCAGGTGACCCTGGGATTTGATGCTGCGACAATCGTAAGTGCAAGAACTGGTCATAAGTCACTGCGTTTGTCAAGAAGGAGCCGAATAGAGATGGGAAAGGAAGATGCTATTTCCTGCTGCTGCTGCTGCTGCTACTACTATTACTACTACTATTACTACTACTACTACTACTACTACTACTACTACTACTACTACTACTAAAGTTGGAAGGGACCTTGGTGGTCATCTAGTCCAACCCCCCTGCTCAGGCAGTCCAGTCTCTTCTTAAAAACTTCCAATGTTGGAGCATTCACCGCTTCTGGAGGCAGGTTCTAACCATCAGGAAATTTCTCCTTAGTTCTAGGTTGCTTCTCTCCTTGATTAGTTTCCATCCGTTGCTTCTTGTCCTGCCTTCAGGCACTTTGGGGAATAGCTTGACTCCCTCCTCTTTGTGGCAGCCCCTGAGATATTGGAACACTGCTATCATGTCCCCCCTCGTCCTTCTCTTCAATAAACTAGACATACCCAATTCCAGCCACCGTTCCTCATATGTTTTAGCCTCCAGTCCCCTGATCATCTTTGTTGCTCTTCTCTGTACTCTTTCTAGAGTCTCAACATCTTTTGGTCGTGGTGACCAAAACTGGATGCCGTATTCCAAGTGTGACCTTACCACGGCATTGTAAAGTGGTATTAACACTTCACGTGATCTTGATTCTATCCGTCTGTTAATGCAGCCTAGCACTGTGTTGGCTTTTTTGGCCACTTAATCACACTTTCCAGCTGCTGTTCTTCAGAGGGATTAAAATCGATCTTTTCTGCATTTGGGCATCTAGAATAGAATGAGTTGGAGAGATTTGATAATTTGGGGCAGGCTTTCTCTCTCTTTTTTTAAAAAAATAATAACATTAATAATAAAATCAAGGCCAAACTGATTAAACTGGGCAGGAGGTTTTGTATTGTTTATCAGAACCGAGGAATGCATTTTTGTCGGCTTTCAATGCACAGCTTGGGAATGTAAGTGAGTTCGGCATGGGTGTATTCAAGAGTAAACACCGTGAAGTGGGCAGGGAAGCTACATTTTCTATTTTGTGAGATGAGCAAGACCAAGATACTGACATTCACAGGGAATCAGGAAAGAGGTAAGTTCTGCTCTCTCAGAAGAGTTGGAATGCAGGAACTTTATCCATTCCTGGAGAAGGCGGCCAAGAGAAAGATTTATTTAACTTCTTTCTTCTTACCCCCATGATTGAAACAAAAGGAAAAAAAAAGTGGATTGTCTTCAAGTATGCAGTCTGCAATGTACACACCTGTTGTTTTGCGGTTTAATTTTTGTGAGCATGTTCAGTGGTGGCCAAATGTTTCTGGGTTTTTTTTTTATTATGGTTGAGATCTTCCTTTAAAATCTGTTTATTGTGAAAAATTAGAATGCGCTTCTTTGTACGGTTCTTATCTTTTTCTCTGCAAAAAGAGAATGTTTTTCAGTGAATTTAGGGGCAAGGGATGGAAGCTAAACTTTCCTATGGTTAATTGTAGAGAAATAGTATTTTGTTTCTGAAAAAGCAGGGAGAATAGGAAATGTCTTTTGGTTTCTTTGCTGAGTGAATATATATATATTCACTCAGCAAAGATTACTATGAGGTGCTGGGAATATATATATATTCACTCAGCAAAATTATATATATCCATATATAATAGAGACGACAGACTTTGTCAAATGCAAACACATGCAGTTGCGTGATCCAAGCTGGAAATAAATAAATATATATTGGAGCATAGAGAAATAATGTACAAAAAGACTATTAAATGTATTAGCTGACCATTTGTTCATAAATCTTCAGAAATGTTCCTTTTGAGTTCAGTCTTGAACCTAAATGAAAGTGAGCAAATATCGATTGGGTTTTGCAAGAATATTTACAATTTGTGCATCTATTTACCATCGTTTTCATCCTTCATCAAAACTTGAACATGTTCTGGATACACTGAAATGCTTTATATATATATATAAAAAAAAAAACTACATTGCTCTTTATGTTTAACAATTTTCTAAAATTCTTAACCCTAATTTAATTTCTAATTCGTAGTGTTAATTTTTATACGATGTTTTATTTCTCGTTACGCTGCCCAGAGTCCCTCCATGAGGGAGATGGGCAGTTTAGAACTATGAAATATAAATAAATAATAAATCTATGTTTTTTATTATTGTATAAATAAATAAATAAATAAAATATAAATAAATCTATAATTCTGAGCAAGAGGAAAGGAAGGAAAAAAATACCTGAAATGTCAAAAAGCAGTTGCAGCAATATACTTTTTTTTCCCCACGGCTACAAGTTTTATCATATTTCTGTTCTAACACATTCATTTTATATACGGTATTCAATTCCCCCCCCCACCCCAGAATCTGTAATAGCTTAATCACATGCTGTTGCAATCCATCTGTTGTGTTTTCAGTGACCTACATGGGGAGGATATATCCCAACTCTTTGCGTTTGTTCCTGTGTGCAATAAGATTTTTAACGAACATCTGCCTTTTCCAGGTAACTCCTGATGTTCGCCATGAGAGCCTCAGTTGCAAGACCTTTCCATATCTGCTGATAAAAATGATCAACAAGTCCCGTAAGTCCACCCTCCTTGTCTTTTTTTTCTTTCTGCGTGGCATACCGTTCTGCTGATCCGAAAATAAAATATTTCAAATTTTACAGGGGCAAAAGGGGAAATGAAAGAAAGTACGGTCTTGAATCTTCAAGGCGAAACCACAAAAACAGTGTTTGTGCTGCAATTTTTAGAGGCCGGTTTTCTAGAAACCATTTACAGTCAACGTTCAAGGAAGATGTTGGTCAATAATTTCTTGTTCAAACCAGATCCAAGAGTCTCTTTGGACACAGCAACAAGTCCTTGATTTAGGACAACAGTTGAGCTCAATATTCCCATTACGTATAAGACAGCTGAGTTTTGCCCTATTTCACAACTTTTCTTCCACACTTGTTAAATGAATCGCTGTAGTTGTGAAGTTAATAACATGGTTGTTAAGTGAATCTGGCTTCCCCATTGAATTTGCTTGTTGCTGATCATGCGATCCTGATCACACGAATCATAAATGCATGCCCGTTGACAAGTGTCCAGATTTTGATCGCATAATCATGGGGATGCTGCAACGGTCATACGTGTGAAAAATGGTCATGTCACTTTTTTCCCCAGTACCGTTGTAGCTTTGAATGGCCACTAAACGAATGGTTATAAGTCAAGGGCTTCCCGTCATTGTATATTAGTCTTTTTATAGCTGTCGGGAAGTTTTTCATTCTGTAAAAGGATATTCATCATTTGTTGTAAAGGTTGCAAAAGTTTATCCTCTAAACATTTATAATAAGAGGTGGGCAGATTATTGGCATCAGGTTGGCCTTTCCTGTTTTAGTCTTTTCAATAGCTTCACAAAATTTGCCCTTGACTTTCTGTGATCTCCAGTAAATTCTGTTTATGTAAATATTTCATCCTGCTCTTCCAAAGGAAAACTCTTTGACTTTTACATAAAGTAGAATAATATTGGTGGAGCCCCCTTTGCACAGTTGCATTTTTAAAAGACATCTAAAACAAATAATTGTTTGTTTGTTTTTTAAATCACTGATTTCAACCAAGATTTTTCTTGGCTTCTTCTATTGTTTGAAGTACACTGTACACTGGGAGAGCAACACGTAGCCAGTCACCGGTTAGGTTAGTGGTTTTCAAGACCTTTGTGGAAAATTCCCCAAAGAAGCCGGGTGGTGGTTTCAGTGTTCTGAAATTTGGATTGTTGAGTTGCACCCAAAAGGCTTCACAATGGAAAGCAGTTTTTCTTCTCCATCCCTGAAAAGTGTTTCCTGAAAACGGGGGGGTGATGCCAAGGTCGTGTATTGTTTGAATGGGGTCACATGAAATTGTAAAATGAGACAGAGCTCCAGGTGGCTCAGCTCTGGCAGTCTAGTTCTGTCTGGCGTGGCCTACCTGGGTCCTGATGAATGTCTTGAGTTTAATTTTGGGGAGGGAGAGAAAAGGGAATGAATGCTTAGTTACAAGGACTCCTCAACTTGTGACAGCCTAACGACTGCTCAAAATTACAACAGACCACAAAAAGGGTATTTATGACTCCTGACCCCCCTCCCTGCAGTCACATGATGTATTTGATGTATTTGATTTATTTATTTACTTACTTACTTACTTACTTACTTACTTACTTACTTACTTACTTACTTATTTATTTAGGGTGCCTGGGAACTGGCTCGTATTTCTGGCTAATTGCAGCATCCTGCGGTTAACACGTGTATAATTTGTGATGCGTGTTGCCATTATCCAGCAGAAAATGTGGGGGGGGAAGTCAATTGGATAGGCTGGATTCGTTTAATAACCATGTGAATCATGTGGCCGTTAAATGAATTCAGCATATCAAATTAGTGGGGGTTTTCTTGCCATTTTCGGCTGTACAATGGCAGCAAGCATTGCAAATCACAGTCACGTGACCACAGCGACTTTACAACTGTTGTGTAAACGTGACCACCCATGGCTCTCTTTAAAAAATCGAGTCTGGTTACGTGCTTCGACTTACAAAATCAACAATGTACGATTGAAATTCCGGGCCCCATTTTGGTCGTACGTCAAGGCGCCATTTTGATCATAAGTCAAGAAGCTAAGCAGGCTTCATGCTGGTTAATATTTGAATGGGAAAGCACTAGAATGTTCCAGGATTAGACTGGGAAGTCAAATAAATAAATACAAGTCTCAGAAGAAGCACTGACAAGCCACTTATTTTCATATTTCTTAGCTGCTCATATCCCTCAGAGAGGAGCTTTTACATATTTGTTGTCAAGAAACTATGTCTATGTATAGTAGTCAAGGAGTTGTATTTGTGTCAAAATTCATATCTAAGTTTACTAAAATGTAATCAGATAGATTAGTTTACTTCTTAGCTGATTAATTATCCTCTCGTGATCTTTGTTTCAGCATCTCAAATTCTCAGATTTATTTGCTCTGTGGCAGCTTTTTTGTTTTCTTCTGGGTTATTGTGATAGGATCAAGTAATGTACCTTGTGTTCCTTTGTAGAGAATCTGAAAAGACGTAAAAAAAACAAACTTGTTTTTAAAAATTATCTACTTGACTGTTTAAGTTCAAAAGGAACTTAAATGTGTGAGGTGCGGTACCCAAATTTGGATTCTTTCAAAGAGCATGGGAGAATTTGCAGTCAATTTTTCATAAGCATTGCCATGTTGGGTTGGATCCCTGGACCTCATCTAGTCCATCGCGGTCAGTTTCACAGTAAACTCATCAGTCTCCAGGCAGATGGCCTTCTTAGGCAGTCACATTCATCAAGACTAATAGCCATTGATCCTCAGATCTTCTATAGCAGGGGTCTTCAAATTTGGCCCTTTTATGACTTGTGGACTTCAATTCCCAGAATTCCTCAGCCAGGTTCTGTACATTGGTCCAATGTTGTTCCTTTTTTTTTTCTTCTGAAAGCAGTCTAGGTATTAGCTAGCATCACATCACCCAGTAGCAAATTCTCAAGTTAAATTACATATTGTATAAAAGAATATCTCCTTTTGTTTGTTCTGATGCTTCCAAGATTCAATTGCATGAGTGGTTCTAATGCCTGTGGAGACTCTCAGTCAGATCATGATTGCCCTGAAGGTGCTTTTCAAAAGACAACTGGACATTCTTTGTTTCCCCCCCTAAAAACGTCTTGCTTCTCATCCAAGAAGCTTCTTCAGTTCTGCTCAGTTCAGTTGAGAACCGAAGAAGCTGCTTGGATGAGAAGTGTAATGTTATAATAATAATAATAATAATAATAATAATAATAATAATAATAATAATAACAACAACAACAACAACAACAACAACAACAACAACAATAATAGTAGTAAAGTTGGAAGGGACCTTGGAGGTCATCTAGTCCAACCCCCTGCTCAGGCAGGAAACCCTATACCATTTCGGACAAATGGCTGTCCAGTCTCTTCTTAAAAACTTCCAGTGTTGGAGCATTCACCGCTTCTGGAGGCAGGTTGTTCCACTGGTTAATTGTTCTAACTGTCAGGAAATTTCTCCTTAGTTCTAGGTTGCTTCTCTCTTTGGTTAGTTTCCACCCATTGCTTCTTGTCCTACCTACAGGCGCTTTAGAAAATAGCTTGACTCCCTCTTCTTTGTAGCAGCCCCTGAGATACTGGAACACTGCTATCATGTCTCCCCTCGTCCTTCTCTTCATTAAACTAGACATACCGAATTCCAGCAACTGTTCCTTATATGTTTTAGCCTCCAGTCCCCTAATCATCTTTGTTGCTCTTCTCTGTACTCTTTCTAGAGTTTCAACATCTTTTTTACATCGTGGTGACCAAAACTGGATGCAGTATTCCAAGTGTGGCCTTACCAAGGCATTGTAAAGTGGTATTAACACTTCACGTGATCTTGATTCTATCCCTCTGTTAATGCAGCCTAGCACTGTGTTGGGTTTTTTGGCAGCTGCAGCACACGGCTGGCTCATATTTAAATGATTGTCCACTAGGACTCTGAGATCCCTCTCACAGTTACTACTATTGAGCAAGGTACCCCCTATACTATACCTGTACATTTGGTTTTTCTTGCCTAAATGTAGAACCTTACTTTTTTCACCATTGAATTTCATTTTGTTCCTTTTCAAGGACGAAAACCAAGAAAGTCCAGTTGCCTTTTGGAAAACTCCTTTGGGAGAAGGATTCTAGTATTTTAGAAAGGGGAAAACATCTTCTGCTTGTTCACTTTATCCATACTATGCTTAATTTTGTACGGTACATCTCAATCATGTCCTCCTTCTAGACTAAAAACCTTCACTTATTGCAACTTTTCCTCTCCGGGAAGCTTCTCCAGCCCTTTGATCATCTCAGTTGTCCTTCTCTGAACCGTCTCTACTTCCACTATGTCCTTTTTGAACGCGATCTTCCAAAAATTCCTTAAAAGCAGACGCTTGCGGGTAATTCACTGCACCAGCCTTGACTGCTGTAATAATATTAAGTTCAGCAAGTGCATGTGTTATATCATTCTTTTTTCTTTCCTGAACAGCTGGAGTTCTTTTATTGCTTCTGTTGTTAAAATGTGTGGGGAAAAAATCATATCTATTTCCTTGCTAAATGCTAAGAGAAACAAAGGGGGGGGGGGGAGCATTTAAAAACAACAGAACACATTTTGTTTGCTAAAGGAAGTAACTTGGAATATTTGACTGCTGATATTGGGGATTAGAAGGAAAAAGCTTTAATAAAAATATTGACTTAATTGGTGAAAAGGCAAATAGTTTTTTTATAATCGCTAGGTTATCCTGCTTAGTAATAGAGGAAGAACATTCTAGTACTGTTCAGAGCAGATCTAGATCGCAAACCATCACGACTAATAGCCAAATTTCAAATCACACATATTGTACTATATTGATAAGTCATCAGAAAGTAAGAACAATGGATTAGCTAGCTCCTTAATCAATTGCTGAATATCAAATGTGCTAGCAGTACTTAATCCAGGTAGCCCTTGACTTACAACCTTTTGTTTAGTAACCGTGCAAACTTACAACTCTGCTGAAAAATGTGACTTATGACCGTTTTCACAGTTGCGACCTTTGCAGCATTCCCGTGATCATGTGATCGAAATTCAGACGCTTTGGCAACAGATTCCTATTTAGGACGGTTGCTGTGTCCCATGGTCATGTGACCATGGGACACATGTGAGAGGGATCTCGGAATCCTAGTGGACAATCACTTAAATATGAGCCAGCAGTGTGCTGCAGCTGCCAAAAAAGCCAACACACAGCTAGGCTGCATTAACAGAGGGATAGAATCAAGATCACGTGAAGTGTTAGTACCACTTTACAATGCCTTGGTAAGGCCACACTTGGAATACTGCATCCAGTTTTGGTCACCACGATGTAAAAAAAGATGCTGAGACTCTAGAAAGAGTACAGAGAAGAGCAACAAAGATGATTAGGGGACTGGAGGCTAAAGCATATAAGGAAAGGCTGCTGGAACTGGGTATGTCTAGTTTAACGAAGAGAAGGACGAGGGGGGACATGATAGCAGTGTTCCAATATCTCAGGGGCTGCCCACAAAGAAGAGGGAGTCAAGCTGTTCTCCAAAGCGCCTGAAGGCAGGACAAGAAGCAACGGATGGAAACTAATCAAGGAGAGAAGCAACCTGGAACTAAGGAGAAACTTCCTGACAGTTAGAACAATTAACCAGTGGAACAACCTTCCTCCAGAAGCGGTGAATGCTCGAACACTGGAAGTTTTTAAGAAGAGACTGGACAGCCATTTGTCCGAAATGGTGTAGGGTTTCCTGCCTGAGTAGGGGGTTGGATTAGAAGACCTCCAAGGTCTCTTCCAACTTTATTATTATTATTATTATTATTATTATTATTATTATTATTATTATTATTATTATTATTATTATTATTATTATTATTATTATTATTATTATTATTA